TTTACAAACAGAAGATTCTTTTGTAGGCAAACATGTATTGCGAACATACGATATATTTATTATATTTACCGCAAATATGACGTAAAACGTGCAAGATTTCTCTTCCTTTCTTCCTGCCTCCAGTTGAATATGGCATCGTTTGCTTGGTTAACGATCTGGTTCCTTTATTTTTTTTTTTTTTAGTCTTTAGCGATTTGTCTTCTTCCATCACAATCTTCATCGTATTCGCCACATTCCTCGTTCAATCGGAACTGAAATTATTTTCTGATTATGTTCCCATTTCCCAGACATTTGTCGACACAAAATCCGTTCGTTAGTTATCGCCGAGTCCGAATTATAAAAAAAATACTTACATGCCAGGTCACTGACTAGATCCGTCCGCTATTGCATTGCATTGCATTTCCGAGCCATTCAATTAACTAGACCTACTGTAAAAATATAGGCGAGAACAAGCTCAATAATAATTCATTTTCAACGACAAGCAATGTTCACGAATTCAATTTTTAGACCTAAGAAGTAATTCTTTCTACTCGCTGCCTTGCTTTTGTGAAACGTCAAAGTAATATTCTTTGATTGATTGATCGCAATATCTTTTCAGATTTTTGCTATATATATGTGTCCAGATTGTTCCAAGAAAACTTACCCTCGCAAATTTGCGCATTTTCCTTGGAATTGTTTTAAATTCAATTGATTTTCGATAAGTGGTGTGTGGCGAAAAAACCATAATTATCGCTTTATTATCATATTGTGTCAGAAATAATCAATCGTACACGTTAAAGATGTGAAATTCAGAATGATTTTGATTTTTTTTTTTTTTTCAGTTATATACAAAAGTCGACTGAGAAGTTTTCAATCGCAATAAGAGAAAAAAAAAATTTTTTTTTTTTTTTTTGCAAAATTTGACTTTTCACAACAAATCATAAAAATCATAAAGAATTTGTGAAATTTTATATTATTCTATGAGAATTTCCTAAAACTTGAAATTGAGCGCACGCTACACGTTCTGCACATCCTTCTCGGTTCTAGTGCCAAATGGAACGATAACACCTTAGTATAATTGACGTTTTCTTCGCTGCGTTCATTTAATCAATTATGTTCAATATTTCAATTTTTTATAAAATTTATTTTTATTCTACGTCTTTTTCATCTTGTCGTTGCTCGTCGCCAATAGTCAGTTAATTGCTAAGCGAAAATTTTAATTTATTTAACTTTAATTTGACTAACATACGATTTACATTTAATTTAAAATTAAATTTTTTACACATTTTTTATATCGCTAAAAGATCCTTACGCCACGAAACTGCACCAACACCACCAACACAGGCAACACCATTAACACCACGAAGCCCATCATTGCGAATAGCTATATAAAATATGTTAGTCAGTGTATAATTATCTAATAGGTATCTGAAATCGTATTTGACACGAATGTAATTATGATTAAGTATTTATTTAAGAGAGAAACTCAGGAAGAACTGCACACGTACGCTACTTACAGTTGCCACTTCTATAAGTACTTAACAATATGTCTGTCTATATGTATTTATATTCTAAGTAAATGAATGTGCGAACCAGAGTTTTCCATTGTATATGCATATGTATTTATGTATGTATGTATGTATATATGCGTGATGGGAACTGTCATAAATATTTATACAGGTACTTAAAGTTTTTTTTCCTAAAGTACTTCAACGTTAAGTATACTATTTATTTATTTCTTATATATATATATATATATATATCTATATATATATATATATATATATAGATCTCAGCATATATCCATACATACATATAATTTACATACATATATACTTTGTACTAATTAAAGCACTTTTAAACTTGTTCATTCATTCCGTTTACTCACTCAATCGTTCAGCCACTCGCTTAGAATACGTGTGTACGTATTTTAATGTGAAGAATACTCGCATTTTAAAAACTATGGTTAGAAATTTCTAAGTATTTGTACACGTCTATGTATATAAAGACTGAAGGCAGGATGCTATTAACACATACTCTCGTTCATTCGTACACGCACATATATACACGTACACATATATGCAGACAAACACTCATTCATACACAGGCTACTAAAATACAGTAGTTATTATTTAAAAAAAAAAAAAAAAAAAAAATGAATTTTGTATTTAACTAACTTATAAACTTTTTCTCTTTCTCTCCCTTTCTCTCGTTCTTTCTTTCATTCTCTCGCTTTCTCTCTCGCTTTCTCTCTCTCTTTCTTTCTCTTTCTCTCTCTCTCTCTCTCTCTCTCTCCCCCCCTCTCCATTTCTCGCTGTGTGTGTCTGTCTCCCGCTCACCATCTCTCCATTTCACGCTCTCTATTTTTCTTTTTCTCGCCGTGACTCGCACCTCCTCACCGCCCACTTCACATTAACAATTTTCATTGCGACAAATATCGCGCTGGCATTTGTGTATTTATATAAAATACATTTAAAATTTGTGCCTTTGTGTGCACCGTCTTTGTATATATTATAACTGTTCTAACTACCATTATTAAAACACAAAACGACATGCCTACTCATTTTTACCCTACACACTTACACATCTATATACATAAAATGCAATATAATGTGTGTTCAACACTAATTTCTTTGAATTATGTAAATTTATTACCGCCACCGTCACCTACATCTACACTTATACCTATGCAACAAACTCGTATGCTTTTTGGTTCGTGTTGTTGTTCTTCTATAACATCAACATTTGCGCTTTTATATGCGATCTACAAATTCTTTGTGCGCGGCCAACCAAAAAAAAAAAAATATATATAAAAATAAATAAATAAATAAATAAATAAACAAAAATAAAAACAAATATATAATATTAATTAAAAAAACAAAAACAATTAACCTACAAACAACAACTCTACTAATAACACTTTTCTCAATCAACACAAAAAAAAATAAAAATAAAAAAAAATAAATCAATTTCTTTATAATATATCAACAACAAAAACCATACACACTTCCCTTTTTTACCCTTGCTCTACTATCATATGCAAACAGCAACAAGAACAGGATCCTACAAATTTGTATATTGCGAATTTGCCCCCAAACTTCAAAGAAACAGACCTGGAAGCGATGCTCTCCAAATATGGACAAGTAGTATCTACCAGAATACTTAGAGATGCTCAGATGAATTCTAAAGGTATTTATTGTAGTCATTGTTGTTTCCTTTCTTGTTTTTTCTTTTACTTTATAAATATGAGAAGAATGAATTGTAAGCGTGTTTTTCGCATTTTGCGAACAGGTGTGGGATTTGCTCGCATGGAGAGTCGCGAAAAATGTGAACAAATTATACAAATGTTCAACAACACTACAATACCGGGTGCCAAAGATCCATTATTGGTAAAGTTTGCCGATGGCGGACCAAAGAAGAAGAATCTTTTCAAGGCACCCGATCAAGGCGGTCGAACGTGGCGTGACGTTTCAGCTGAAGGTATACCGGTTGCCTATGATCCATCGGCCATGCAACAGAACGGAGTTGGCGTTAACGTTGGTACACCAATCGGTGTACCATATTCACGTTTCGGTGCTCCCCAAGTTAGCGGCTATCCAATGGCTGGCTCACAATGGATACCCGGTTATATGATGACACAACCTATCACGCAAATGGATGATCAGGTAAATCCGATTCATTTCAAACTGTTAACATTTTCCGAACAGCAATAACTCACAATACGGGTAAAGTCCAGTGTGACTTCAATGTAAATTACATTCACCTGAAGCACCCTCTAGCAATCTATTATGAATCCAATAGGATTACCTAATCCAAAAAAAGAAAAAAAGAAAAAAAACAAAGCGATTATTAATTTAATTCAGCTCACATCCATGTATTTTATAATAACGTTTCGACTAACTAAAGCTATCTCTTTGAACAGACACGTTATTTTTAGGAGTACATGATAGAGGGACTAGGTTTAACCCCAACGACGCCTGACAGCATAAGAAGTGGGAAAACTCGCACTCAACGGCCGACTGCCAGATGGAGACACATGCGTACATAAACGTAGTGAGATTGAAGGTCAACTAAGATCTCCGCAACGCAACTCGCCGAGCCAAGAACAAGCCGAGAACAAGCTCTTCTCAACATCTCTCTCACCCACCATGACATTTCCCCATTTAGGCCGAAGTTGAAAGATAGCTTCGGGCGCTCCTGGCATCCTTACCAACAGTAATAGGACGAATAGACGGATAGTTAGGCAGAAATAAAGACATGCTTAAGTTATTCAAGGAAATAACGCTAAATAGATTGATATAATGAAAGATGGGTTTTAGTGGGCTAAGCCCTTGTAGGCATTGCATACACCCGCGAAGATTTAAGATACCTTGGCCACAAGGATTACTAAAAGAGGATCTTATTATTACATACTGTGAATTATTGAAATCCGCAATACCGCAAAGTCGCTGAAAAGCGAAAATGCTATTAATAACGAGTCATGCTCGCTGGTATGACGACATAAATCCGTAATCGATGACATTTCATTGTATATTTCTTACTTCAATCGCATTTGCACGGAACCATTAAAACTGGTTCCTATGTTTGTTGGGCCTTTAAACTCCAGTTAAGCGGCTTTGCTGCATTGGTGCTATCGCTTAAGGCAAATATACGGTATTCGGTCTTGTCTATTACCTTAAATGTAAACGCAACTATAAACTTATTTTCGGGTCTACATGATTCTATATATTATTATATTATATATATTACCGGTCGTATAAGTAATTAATAATGAAAGGATTTTAAAACGTTTGACTCTTTTTCGATGATTTTTCAATTTTTATTTTTGCCGTAAGCGGAATCGTAACAAAATCTATTGAGGAATATTTAAAAGGGTTAAAATTGTTACCAATACGACTAATTACAGGCAGTGGATGGGAAAGCGTGCGTTAGAGCTAATCTGTGAAGTATACCCGAACAGAGATTGCATAGATTGCTTATAAAGAAAAAGAAAATATCGGGAAAGTTTGATTATCATTGTTCTGCTCGCATATTGTGTAAAAGCATGCTTGATCCTTCGTTCGCCGATATCGTCATGTACATGCGATTAAATTTATTGCATTAAATCGTACTTATCCAGTGAACTTTGTCGACTTAACACTTAGAGCTAACAACGTTTCGTTTTGAATGCAATAATAACTTTATTATAAGATGTTTTTTTTTTTTTTGCTTTTTATTTTATTTAGTCATTTTTATTTATTGACTAACTGACATTTACAAATTTAATAATGTTGCACTCATATTGTTGCAGAGAATCGTATAATTAACGTTGTCACGAATACATTAATGTTGATATCATCAATTGTAACGTAAGTGCGTGTATGCAGCGTGTAGGCAAATGTGCAAAAGCATGCATGTACATGCGAATACATATGACATTTAGTTTGCTTTACATACTTTAAAAACCGAAATATATTAATCAACTTGAATTATACACTTTTCGCAAGAATATATATCAATATCAATATGTGCGGCCAGATCACTTTTTTTTTTTTTTTTTTTTTTTGTCTGTTTTACTTCCTTTCTTTTTGTTTTTCCTCTTTTTTTTTTTTTTTTAATTATCTTTGTATTGCGCGTTTCAGTATATGCCAATGGCTGCGGCACCACAATTGGGTGTTGCCTCCTATAAACCAGATGCTATCAGTCAGGTGCAACCACGCGGTATATCAATGATGGTTAGCGGCGATACAGCGGTACCATACGGAGCAATGATGCCACAATTAACCACATTGCAAGTTGGCAACTCGGTAAGTACTAAAATTACGATACATACATACGTAACACGTACTCATGAAAGACTCACAGTTATATGCGCATACATACAAAATGTAATAGTCATTATGCACATATATATCACATACATATATATGCGTGCATATGTGCGTATATATTCTTTCGTATTGCAGCATAAAAGAGATTAATTCGCTTAATTACAAAAAAGAAGCAAAAAAGTCTTATTAATATGGTTTTTTTTTAATAAAGTCATCATATTCCTTCTCTCATCGTCCCGACATCAATCATTCAATCATTTCATTGATGTACCATTAAACACGTGTCATTTTGTATAGATGTATATGAAATGTTACGTAAATGTTAGTGAATAAAAAACTTTAGAGATTACTTTTTTTAAAAAAAGTTTAAATGCATTTTTTCCCCCTCATTTCATTTAACCTTCATTTGATTTCAATTAATCCTTAAAATACCATTCTCGATCTGTTTGACTTACTCTCTCTCTCTCTCTCTCTCTCTCTCTCTCTCTCTCTCTCTCTCTTTTTCACCTTACTCTTCAACTTTCGTCTTTATGATATTTTATTTTTATTATTGTGCAATTTATTTGATTTTTTTGTTCTTTTATTTTCTTGTGTTTTTTAGAATTTCTCTCCATCATTACAGTATATTAGTCCAACTTATCCATATTATGCACCACCAACAACAATTATTCCAACAATGCCAATAACAGATTCTGAACAGGCTAGCACAGCTGCATCACCCGATGAGGCATATACGCAGTATCCGCATCCAGCTGCCCCTAAATAGGTATTCGCGAGGTGAGTGCGAGTGTCTACCTCTCTCTCTCTCTCTCTCTCTCTTTCTTTCTTTCTTTGTTTCTTTCTTTATCTCTCTCTATCTCTCTTTCTCTCTTTCTCTCTCTCTCTCTCTCTCGCTCTCTCTGTTTCTCTCTGTGTATGTGTGCATACCATTCAAATTCTTTTTTCTCTATCTTTCTCACACAATCTCACTTTATATCACACATTTTAAAATTACATTTACTGGTATGCGTGAGTTTGTGTGTGCGTATGCGAACGAGCGAGCGTGCTTATCTATGTATTATTAAACTTTTGATTTCCTCTTCATTTGTTTACTATGTTTGCAAGCATTTAGAGAAACGCAATCAAAAATTTTTAGCTTAAAAATCAAAATCATTCATTGCGCTATACATTAGTGAAGAAACGCTCATTTTTTTTATAGAAAATGGAAAACAAAGAAAAAAGAAAAACAAAAAACAAAAAAGCGGAAGAGAAGCCGGTGTGCATGCTATCATTCGCATTTACATTAAAATATTGTTTTCCTTTTTGTTTTTTATTTCCGTTTCTCATTTTCTTTCCTCATTTCCATAATTTAAATAAAATAATTTAGTATAAAAAAAAAAAACAAAAAAGAACACAAGAATAGGACATTTTGTTAATACAACAACAACAATAACAACAACAACCAACTGCTTACTGTTATATATCGTCATCTACTCGTGCTGCTTGTCTGCCTGCTTTGCTTGCCTGTTTACTTAATCTGCCCATCACGTTTTATTGTTTATTTCTGTTTATTTTTGTTTCTCTTTTTCATAATCAATATTATTCATCCATCCAAAAGATGATTTCATATTGGAATAATCGAAATTTTTCATTTGTTCTCATTAGCTCCGTTTTTTGTTTTTTTTTTTTTTTTGCTTTTAAGCGATTATTTCCTTAACAGATTTTCTCAGTTATCCATCAAACGCTAGATATTTGTAGCGGATACCTTTGTTATTTAATAATTTATTTATTAAATTTCTCTTCTATTCGATTCAAAGTTCATTTATTTGAAAATTTATCCGTACGTCTGCTTATCTTTAATGCTTTTACGGCTGTAAGAAAAATTGTAGAGAGCTAGAAATAATATACGAAAAATCACTATTGTGTTTGTTCCCTTCATTGCGTGTTTGAAAATCTTTTTTTCAAAAATGTAAAATTCCAGTCAAACATGGTATATGATGTAACAACAATAATATTTCAATGTCCTAACCTAACCTAAGACTTTACAACGAATTGTATTTTTATACTTCTATTAGAAGTAAAGAAAAAAATAAGAAAATAGTTTTGAACTGTGGCGCGTTCATCTGTTTGCTTCACGTATTGACTATACAAAATAAAACCCCTTAAGGAGGTCTGAACTTTTTACATATATACATACAAGTAATTAATCAATAAATAGGATGCAGGAGTAATGTGAACTATATTCTTCCGTTTGTTACATCCGACAATGCACTCTAGAGATTCAGTAAAGTGTACATATCGTTGTACATCCATCAACTCGGAACTCTTTAGCGCTTTATCTGAACTTAAGACTGTCGATTAATACTTGAAACTAAGAATTACGCAGGGGCTCCCTTAACAGATAATTCTCGTTGTTATATTCATCGCAAAAGTGACGAAATATTCTTAAATCATAGAAGTATGCATCGGCGATCACATCACATAAAGTGGTCGGCGTGAATAGCGTGAAACCATGAAGACATGGTGCTATCTTGTCAGACATCTCGCAATGATAATGCAAAAGAAAAAGAAAAAAAAAAAAAAAAAAACAAGCTCTGATGTGACACTTATCTCTTATTACTTACTCTCTTCATCAGTTTAAGTTCTTTTCCCAACTACACTATACTCGCAAAAGCTCTCAAGCTTTAATTGGTTTCATAAATATTTCCTTAATACAATTTTCGTCTCAATTTGAGCAGAGCACGGTCTGATGTCCGCTCCAGGCGGGAGATCTACGATATACATAATATTATTATACTAATTATTTTTGAACGAATGATTAATCGCTATATCTTATTATCGAATGCCCTACGAAAGTTCGATTCAGTTCAATCAAAGTCGAATATAATCCCTTTCATCCTTTTACTTACTGCACTTATATACGAATGCAAAGCTCGAACATATTGCTCACTTAATTTTATTTGCAATTTGCATTTGTTCTTGTTATTTTATTGTTTTTTTTTTTTTTTTTTTCTATATGCTTTATATAAAATGTGACCAATGATTTCAAAATGATTTCAAATATGTAGCAAAAAAAAAATCTCTTCTTTTTTTTTTTTAATTCGAAACCCTTTATAGAAAAGTTTCTGTATTCATAACTAACTCTTGATATGATAATGTGATATGTGATAATTGTTCAATTACATTTAATTAAAATATTTCAGATGTAATTTTCTAATACCGCAGTTGACATTCTAAGCAAAGTAATGAAAAAGAAAGAAAGAAACAGAAATAGAAAAACAACACAATCTCTCTCAACTGCTGCTTGCTTTATACTTGGATTTATGAAAACAAAAACAAGAAATGACTGGACAACAAAAACAAATGAAAAACAGAAAAGAAAAAAAAGCAAATACCAGAAAAAAGCAAAACAAAAACAATAAAATCAAGCAAACATTAAATTTATAAGTAAATTAATGATAAATTAAAGGAAAAACTGATAATAATAAAAACAAGAAAAATTAAATAAATAAAAGTTTCTTTCGCAACCCAATCAACAGATGAACAAAAGCGCTGAAAGTAAAGCAACAACACAATAAACAACAGCAACAACAACAACGACAACAAATGAAAAATAAATATTAACCAGTAAAGTATTCGCAAATAGAAACCGAGAACGACAACAACAACAACAACAACAACAACAACTAATATTACTACAATTTAATAAGATGATGATGTTATTTTGTCAAAAAGAAAAAAGAAGAAGAAGAAATATCGTAAAGCAGAAGACTTACAAATGAAAAAATGAAACAAACAAAGATATTTATTATAAACGAAAAATGAACATTTTGCCAAAAAAAAAAAAAAAAAAAAAAAAAAAACCAAGAAAAAATAAAAAAAAAAAAAAATAAAGAAAATTGTAATCAAAGCAAAACATAAAAGAATACATATATCAAAGAAGAAACTAATGATGATGACTTCAGTAGCTGAACAGACTGCAGATGAATAGAAAAATCAGCTTTGAAAACGAAAGGATAACAAAATGAGAGACAAGGGGTGACAAAACGAGGTTAGAGTTACTAAAGAAGAGAAGATTTTTCCAAAAAAAAAAAAAAACAAAAAAACAAAAAAAAAATATATATATATATATAAAAAAACATTAAAAAAAAATTTAAAGAAGAAAATTGAAATTTAACGAGGAAAAAAATGGAAATATTTTGAAAAGAGTATACATACAACAAAGCTTAGGGAGGAACTAAGAAGTAAAAGATTTTTTATTTGCTTTTCACAATAAAAAAATGAATTTTTTTTTTTTTTTTATAATTTATAATAATAGAAGCGAAATTATTTTTCATTTTATAAATGAGAGTATTTAATATAAACAATTTATTAGAAATATTTTGACAAAAAAAAAAAAAAATAATAATCAAAAAAACAAAAACATGGGAAAAAATTTTATTTAATTTTGTATACCCACCATCACAGCCGCGGAATGCAAAACTATCGCCAAAGAATAGTCATCACTATCACTATCTATAATTTTGAATCGATTTTTACATCGTTTCGATTAAGTTTCATTCTCACACTAACCGTTTTTTAACTTGGAGCAAGTCAGTCGGAATTTATTCATTTTTTCCTTTTTTTTTTTCACTATTGAAATTTTTTGACATAAACACACATGCGTTGGCAATAAAATTTTCGATATCTGCTAATAAATAAGTTTATACGGATTTTTTTTATTAAATATTCTCTCTACGTAAATACATATTTGAATGTTTTATGTGTGCGTGTGAATGGGATGTGTGGGGTATGTGTGTGTAGCTTAAAGAGTCTGTCCCAAAGTGATTCGTTCAACTCAACGAACAAATTACAGACCACTTCTCATGTGATATATCGGAAGTAAAAGCTGAAAAAAAAAAAAAAATAAATAAATAAATAAATAAATAAATCAAACCAAAATCGATCTTCATCATCGTGTAAACAAATCGTGCGAAACGTTACAGATCAGGGGAATAGGGTAGAAACCGAATGAAAAATGATTGAATTCTTTTTATAAACGCTTTTAAGCTCTTTTGCCTTTGTTCAATTTCAATTTTTAAACGTAAAGGCACTACACACACAAATACGGACGCATTTCACCCATTATTCGAATGTCTCGAACCGACTGATCTGGTGATATGCATCTGAATATCGTCTATTGAACATCGCAAAAGGAAAAATTCAAGAATACGAATATTATTCGGTTTTCTCTATACTCGTATTGAAGTCAAATCTTAAAAAAATTTAAAGGCGATAACCAAAACATTCATAACAAAGTTAATGATCAATGATCGGGAAAAAGAAATAAAAGTCCGGCGCTTATCGATTTCAGTTTCTCATTACATCAGCGATTCATGAGCTTTTCCCGGATACTTCAACGCTTCATAGTTTTTGCTCCGATTGGCATTGATTGCAGGCCTTGCATTTTTTCTCTTTTATTTTTCGTGCAAATCGTACGAACTGTGCAAAAAAGAACAAAAAAATAAGATATATATGTAAATTAAAGGTCATGTAAACTGTAATGTATCAATCGATTCGTATAAACTGACCCTCTAATGTCCTGCTTAATCATTAATTTCCATATAAATATAGAGTATGACTTGCATGTATGGGCGGGATTTTCCAAATTTTGCTTGGAGACGCTCGATCTCGACCGATCGTGGGGTATAGAAGCCTGCGTAGTATTCATATATAAGTATATCCACGGCAAGTGTTCTACAGAGGGAGAAGAGATTTGTTCACAATTCAGTCCTTCAATAGGAAATGCAAAGCATTCCCACTCGTCCTGAAAATACCCGCATAACGCAACGATACACTATCGCGACCACGTCATTACTTAGTGACACCGCACACCTTTAGAACTGGCGTCCTTCGCGCTGTGCCTAATGTTTCCATTCTATTCTCTCCCTACATCCTTCCCGAGCATTGTTGCGCCTACGCGTATAGAGGCCGTCGCCGATTTCGTTCTACAATTACAAGAAGTTATTGAGAAATTGCTTTGAACGACAATGAAATAGTATCGAACGATAAATAAATAAATTAAATATATTTTTTTTGTTAAGCAAAAGTTGGGTGTGGTGGGTATGCAAGAATCGCTTCAAAGCGAATATAATTTTTTAACTTGTTTCCGTTTTATATATAAACTTTTTATTTATTTCTTTATTGATGGTATGTTTTTCATTTGTTTTGCTATTAATTTCGCTAATATATTCAATTTCAAAAAGAAAAAAAAGAACACAATTTTGTTGTTGTGTTTTTATTTATTTATTTTTTTTTTTTTGCAATCAAATTTATTGTGAAAATACGTGAAGAAAGTAAAAACATTTTATAATATTTACATTTTCTGAAAACCATGCAATAAATCGAAAAAGGGAAGAAACAAACAACTTAAGTAAGGGAAACTTAAGGGAAAATAAATAAGATAACAAAAAAAAAAAATAAATAAATAAATAAACAAAGGAATATAAAAATTTAATAAAACAAAGAAAAGATGTAGATTTTTTATAAAAGCAGCAAAGTAGAATTTTTTAGAGGAAATAGTAAAAAACAAAAAAAAACAAATAAAAAGAAAAAGCAAAAGCGAAAGCGAAAACAAAGCAAAGTGTAGTCATATTTAGAAAAGAAAAGTTTTTTTTTTTTTTTGGCATTGGTATAGGGAAACAGACAGAAGAAGAAGAAGAAGAGTCAGACGCGTAACAAAAACAAAAAGCAATGAAATGCAAAGAAATATGATAAATAATTTAAACTCAAGTGTGTTTATTAAACAAAGTGGTAGGAAAGGAGGTAACAAAAAAAAATAACAACAGCAAAAAAAACAAAAGAAAGAATATTTAAAAACACAAAGAGAGAAAACATAAAATCATAAAATTTTGGTCTTTTTCTTGTTTCTTTCTTTTCTTCTGTTTTTTTTTTTTTTTGTTTTTTTGTTTTGAACATCCATTAATACAATTGAAATCAATTGAAAACTAAACTAATTGCGATATTAATGGGCGTGAGAAATTAGCCCTTTTTCTGCTTTGTTTTTTTTTTCGTCAAGTTGATTAAATTAATTAATTATAATGGATTAATTAAAATTGACCAATCACAGTTAATCAATTGATTATGATTAATTAATTAATATCGAGTAATTATTAAAAAAAAAAAAAAAACAAAAATGGATATTAATTGAAAAACCGAGTTCGAACTCCACTAATCCAAATTAAATTAGAAATTGCTTAAAATTAAGAAATAAGTTAAATAATTTTCTTTTTTTTTTGTATAGCTTTTCATTTAATCAAATTTTTCAAAACAATTCTTGTAATTAGTTGTTTATAGTTAGATTTATATTTACAATTGTTTTTTTTTTTTTAACTTAAAGAAAAATGTTTAAGGTTTTTCTTGTCTAAAGTCCTATCGTTTTTAAAATGACTAAGGTCAACACATCTTGTTAGTTTCTTTTCTCTCTTTTTTTTTTTTTTTTTTTTTTTTGCCTTTCATAACATTTAGTTAAGGATTTAATAAAAGAAATTCTTCTATTTTGCTGTTTTGATGCACTTGTAATTACCGCAATTTACGAAAATATTAATTTAAAATAAAATATCATGAAATGATTCTCGAATGACTCTTAAGCAAGTCAATCAGTTATCTTCTCAATCAAAGAAAAGATTAAGACAAGAAAGAAGACGGATAAGAGGAAAATTTTAAATTCGACTTTCATAAAATTCCTAGATTACGGCTGCGTTGGACTTTTCTTTTCAAATTTTCGCAATACCGCTGGTAAATTCACAACGCAACTTCTTCATGATTCATTGCGAGATTTGAAATTTAAATCAATCCATGATTAAATTTCGTCTTCTATCATAATCTTAGCTAACTTGTGTTGCAGATTGAGAGAACGGAACGATACAATTAATTAAACTGCTCATGCACGTTATCCTATAACTTTTATAACGTAACCTATAAAGGCTATTCAGCATGATTTTATAAATGAAAAAAAAAAAAAAAAAAAAAAAGAAAAGAGAAACAAGTTATTTTACTAGTGACCTTCTACGCTGAATTTATTTCACTCCCATAACAAGATTTCATATTTGTTCTTGTCCTTCGAATTAAATTTTTAAGCATCTTTCTCTCTCACATCTCGAAGTTTGCAATAACTTTCGATTTTACAGTGATGCAATTTTCTTTAACTGTTTATTAAGCGGCCGGTATTCTTAAAATGAATTCGAAATTCGAAAAGCAATTCTTTATTTGTATTGAATATAAATTGTGTTTAGAAGACGTGGTCTTATTCCGGCTGATCCAAGTACAGTCGAACGTAGAGATAGAAGAAGAGTTCGTGAATCGTCTTGAATTTCTTCGTTTTTTGTTATGTTCGTTCGTAACGGTAATTACC